TTCCTAATGGACTCATTCTTTTATCATTATAAAATGTTTTTTTTATCCCTAGTGATTTTTTAAATTAAAATCTTTTTTTGACATTAGCTTAGTCAGTTCACTCTCTTATAATTCATGTTTACATGGTATACCTTTTTTGCTACTCTTAATTAAAACAAATATTGTTGAATGTAAAGTGTGTTTTCTGTAGGCAGCATATAATCCAATCTTGCTTTTGTTCCAATCTCAAAATCTCTGCCTTTTAACTAGATTAATTAATTCACATTTTGCATTATTATTATGATTGGCTCTATGAATGCCATTTTACTTTTTGTTTTTTTTCTATGACTTACGTCCTCTTGCTCTTTTCCCCTTCATCATCATTTGTGTTAGGTAACCATTTTTAGAGTAACATTTGAATAACTTTAATGCCTTTTCACTATACTTAAAATTTTTATTTGTTTATTATTTGTTTATTTATGTATTGGTGGGACTGTGGTTTGAATTCAGGGCTTCATGCTTGCAAGGCAGGTACTCTACCACTTGAGCCATGCATCCAGCCTCCCAAATTTTTATTTTCTTAATGGTTGCTCTACAATTTCAGTGTACATCTTATCAGATCCACTTCAGATTTATGTTTACTTAATGAAAGTGAGATATAGAAATGTTGCTCCTATATAGCTCTGTCCCTTCTTTTTGTGCTATTATGTTGTTATTCACATGATAGCTATGTTTGTTACAAACTCAATAATACATTGTTACAATTATTCTTTTGTCTTTCAAAACAGTTGAGCAAATGAAGATACTGATAAGATTTGCTTAGTGAAGTTTTTTTGGTTTTGGTTTTGGTTTTGTTTTGAGATTGAACTCAGGGCCTTGCACATGCTAGGCAAGTGTTTTATCAGTGACTTTTATCTCCCAGACCTTAACAAATATTTTAAATTATCTTATCTGCTTCCTTTTATTTCTTCCTGTGGATTCAAGTTAGCATTGAGAGTCATTCCTATATTCCAAGTTTGCTTCCACCCACTTCTTTTGTGCTATTATCATCAGTTGTCCTATATTTTTATATGTTAAAAGTTCAACAATACAATTGTATGCCTATTGTTTTACATTATTGCTTTTTAAATTAGGAAAAGAGAAGAAATATGCATTTAAAATGTAGGTAGATTATAATTACATAGTTACTTTTATTATCCCTTTTGCACATGTGTGAATTTGACTTAATATGTAAAATCACTTGCTGTCAATCTGAAGAATTTATTTATTATCTCTTATAGGGCATATTTGGTACTCTTTCAGTATTTGTTTATCAGATAAACAAATGTATATAAAACAAAATGTATATAAAATAAAATGTATTTATTTTACCCTCACATTTGAAAGATAGTTTGCGGAATATAAGATTATTTTTGGTTGATATTTTTTGTTTCTTTCAGTACTCCAAATATACCATACCACTGTCTCCTGTTGTGCTCTCATTTTTTTTTTAAATGAGAAGTCAGGAGTTAATTTTAGTAGGTTCCCTTCTTTGTGGATGTCTTTGCATTTATCCTATTTGGAGTTCATGGAGCTTTTGGGGTGCATAAATTAGTGTTTTTTAGCAAATTTGCTAAGTCTTCAGCCATTATTTCTTTAACATTTGTCAGTTTCTCTTTCTTCTCTCCTTATTGCACTCCCATGACAGGAATATTGGTGTTTTTAATGGTTTCTCACATATTGTTCTCTCCATTTTCTTTTTTCTCTGTTCTTCAGATTATAAAATCTCTGTCATTATCCCTCAAATTCACTGGTTCTTCTGTAAATTTAATTTTTCACTTGATTATTATATTTTCAATCCAAAGTTTACATTTTGGACTTTTTAAAATAATTTTTTGTCAATATCCACTCTTTGATAAGACTGTCCTTGTAGCTTCCTTACTTCTTTGAGCATGGTTTCCTCTACTTTTTAAACGTATTTATAATGACTGCATTACAGTTTTGTCTATTAAATTTAGCATCAGGGCCCTGTCTGTGTGGTACCTTTTACAGCTGGAACTATGGACTTAGGAGACATCCCTGGTCTTCTTGGCTAGTCCTTCTCTCCCATTGTGGAACCTCTGCCCTACAAGCAAGCTGAGGTGAGGGTTATTGGAGACTAGTGTTCTTGGCCTGCTGTGTTGGAGTAACGTTTCTGTTCTACAGGTGGTAGCTATGTAGAGGAAAGGAATCTCAGACTTCACTTTCTGGAATATATCTTCTGCAACACAGAGCTAGGGTGGATAAGGAATGTTGATGACCAACCCTTCCTGGAGAGAAACCATAACCTTCTACCGGGAGCTGGGAAGCTCTATGTTGCCAGTTAAACTTATCTAGAGTGTTTTTCATTTCACTGAGGTGATTTAAGTTGTGCTCATAAGTTGAACACCTTAAATAACTCTCAGATATGTGGTAAGGTTAAAGAATATTAAAATACAGTCATGTGTAATTTAACAATGGGAATATGTTCTAGAAAATGCATCATTAGGTGATTTTTTCATTGTGCAATATCATAGAGTATACTTACACAAACTAAGGTGGTTATAATTCCACTAGAATATATAATCTTATAGGATCACCATTGCATATGTGACCCATCACTGGCTAAAATATTTTGTAATACACACATAGTATAAATAAAGCACCTGGCACAGAAACTGACTAAGTGGTAAATGTCCCTTCTCTCGTCTTCAAGCAGATGACTCTCTTATTCAGGCTGAATAACAACATCTGTACATTAGCAGTGTCTGGTATATGGCACGTGGGTAATAAATGTTGAGATGAATTTAAGGGTGAACAGATGAATGGAAAAATGGGTGATCAGAGTAATTTTTTAAATTTATAGTAAGTAATTTATCGATATAAAATATGGGTGTTGTTCATGTTTTAATGATATATTCCGAACAGACTAATCAGAATAAACGCTATCAGAAGTGGTTACATAACTAGCAGGACATGGTGAAGAAAAATGGGGTTCCTCTTCAAAAATTAAGAATTTCAAGATGGCAACATTAGATCATTAAACCATGTTTGGGGCCCTTCTAAGTACACCCGCATATGAAACCATCCTTGCTCATTTCAGCCCTAGAATTGGGTCCTGAGGGACTCCTACTGTGACAGGTGTTATTCCTTAGTTGCTGGATTTATAAACCTCTAGGAGAGAGGATGCAAAGGAAGGAGTTAAGGCACCCCTAGGTAGCAGAAGACAGATGGGTGAGAGGGGCATTGTCTATGTACTAAGCATTTGGGAAATATTCAATACCTTAAAATTCCAACATAATGTAAAAAAATGGAAGTTCACAAAATTCAATTTCATTAAATTTGGGGTCACATTATTGTAAGGTTAAGTAATACAGCTAGTAGGTCAGGAATTCCAGAGTCCTTTTACAAGATTTAGTACCACTTGATTCAACTATCTACTTTGTTGGGGCAGTTCTGGTTGGGTTTCTATGTTTACGGCAGTGATTTCAGAAATCTTTTGATTAGTAGCTCTTATTATGCATGTGTTAAACAGGGGAAATAGAATACTAGCTCTCCAAAAACTATCTAGCATCTAGGATGGAATTCTATGTCATTTCCAGGTCTCACCTTGACCTCTCTCCTTCGCATTCCTCCTTCCCAATACCCCTCATCAAACTAAGAATGAATTCAGCCAAACCCTGGTTTGACGGCAATTGGCAATTATGTCATATCTTAATTCATATTACTATGGGAATTTTAATGTTTAACAATGACAGGCCCACTTAAGGAAATAGTGATATCATTGATGATGAGTGATAGTAAAAAGATGGAATTCTGTTTTATAGCTCAATTTTAGTTATATTTCCCATTTTAGAAGTGATCAGCAACAATGGCAGTCACAACCACAGTTATTCTGCCCCTGAGCTTACTGCTCATTAAATTATTTTAGCAATTTTTATTCAAAAACAGTGGTATATGTCAGTGCTTTTTAAATTGAATGTGCAAATGATTCTGGCAACTGTTGATTAAAATGCATACTAGTGCATAGGTCTTGGTTGGAGAATTTCTAGTAAGCGCCCATGTGATGCTTACTTTACTCTAAATATATTAAATAAAAATTAGTCCAAACTAAAACTTGGCTCTTGGTTATAATCTGTAGTCCATTATTCTCTAAGTTTTGAAGCAATTGTCTACACTTAGATAGCCATATCTTTTGAAGTTTGTACTTTTAGAAGGCATCTTACTAATTCCACAGCCTTGTGCCTTTTGGTCCTTGTACAATGAACCACAAAAATCCACTGTCAGAAATAAAGAAAGACTGGTGTAGGAAATTCCAAGGTTTTTACTTGTAGTTTATGACTTCTGAAGTTTTCAAATATGATCCCTCATTATTTCATTATATTCAGCTTTTTAAGCATTAGCATTCCTCCTAATTTTTTCTTTCATGAAATGTAAAAACACACATTTAGGACTATGAATGTACTTAAAGCTTCTTACTCCATACTGATTCTGTCTTTGGGTTACTTTTAAAGTCAAACAATCTTATTCATGGTGAATACTTTCATCCAGAATGCAATTTAAAACAAACCAAAAAATCCCCATAGAATCTCATTTTCCATGATTTGGCAGTATCTTTATGGCTTACTGCAAATTTCAAAATCACATTGCTTTATTAATACATCATTGAATAAAATCTGACCCATTCCTTGACTTCTCTACATGCAGCACTCTTACCATGGGTTTGTGAGAAAAACCCTGTTAATCCCGCAAACTTGCTTACTAGTTGAGAGTTTGAGTATTCTAAAGCCTGATGAAATATAGCAATGAAACTAGCACAATGGTGCACACCTGTAATACCAGCACAAAAGAGACTGAAGCAGAAGGATCACAAGTTCCTGACCAGCATGGGCTACATAGAAAGACCCTGTCTATAAATAAATAAATAAAACAATATCATACAGTAAAATGTACTCAACATTTGAACAAAAATTTCAGTTTAATAAGACTCATATTTAACATTTGTCCATATGATTGGAAAGCAGTCAACAGAGTGCCTCTGGATGAGAAAAAACTTCTTTTTTTGTAAGAAAAATCTGAAATTTAGAAAGAGCTGTTGTTAATAATTTGTGATTAATAATAATTTCACTGAGGATTAATAACTTAGAGAAGTAGGGAAAAAGCATTTAGCCAACAAATAAAAGAAAGAATTTCATACACATTCACACTTCTATCTTTAAACAATATGGTATTAGATTATTTTTGTTCAAGTCATAGTTTCTTCTGAAAACCCACCAACCCATGGTGATCATCCATTTTCTGAAATTCTATAATACTTCTTCAACTCAAATAGCAATCATTTAAAGTCACCTCACTGGTAATATTTTTAGGTATGGATTCTGTCTCCCCCCAACTAGAGCATGAACACCAAGGGCAAGTGCCATGCTTCAGCACTTTGATGTGATCACAAGATCTTGAGATGTGATCACAAGATCACAAGATCTGTGGCACATTCGTAATTTGTTTCTACATAACTGTTTTCAGTCACTTTCCTTTTTTCCAGTCCTATTTTCCTCCACTAAGATAAAGCCTTGTAAGGTTAATTTTTTTAATGACTGAATTTTCTGAAGGCATCATAAGCCACACTGCATCAATTGTATACCAACAATGAGTAGGCAAAATTATAAAATGTTGGTCCATCAATTCTGAATGTTATTTACTGTCTCAGACTAAACATTATAGTGTTGTTCAACTTACCATTTTCAGTAAAGCTCTTTGCTTATATGAAATCAGATAAGCCAGTAATATAACAAATAATGAAGCAAAAGCAAATGGTATTACAAAAAATATCAGTGTGTCCTTCCATATATCACCTAGGATTAAAAAAATCACAAAAAGGGAAACTGTTAGAGATTTATATCTAATTTTGGAACTATATCATTTTATAAATAAACTCCCAGTAAATGATGCAAAATCGAATTAGATGATTGTTTGCTAGTGTATAGACACCACAATTGTATCTAATTATAGCACTCCTTATAAATTGTACAATTTTTATACAAAACAACTACTTTATTGAACTGTGACATCTCTTAATTTCACTTATAAAAATGAATCCCAAAGTACACTTCTTATTTCCTGGTTTGATTTTGTTGAAAATTTGACCTTGTGAAATTTTTCATTAAAAATAATGAAATATTAGTCAAGAGATTAAATTAAAATGTCATATGTCTCTCTTAACTCAATAAGTCAAATATTTACTTATATCATCTGATGCTGTAGTGAACAAGTTCTCGTCTTCAATAAAGATACCCATGTGAGTAATGGAGCTACTCTTTCAAGGTCACTTTTTAAAAAAAATTGCCTCCCATTTTATAGACTAAAGAGAGGGACAAGTTTTTCTTTTCTCTTTTGTTTCAGGGAAGTAGTTTTAATGGTTCTTCTAGAGAAACTTCAAAAGTAAACAAAGTTTGTCCTTCCTAAACTATCTCCTTAGCGATTATATGATACATTTGGCTTCTCGGTTTATTTCCTGTCTCTACCCAACTTGAGAATAAAATACAAGTTCCAAGACAGTAAGGGTTTTTTTTATTGGTGTGCCTTCAATACTTGAGAAGAATCTGACACATACTAAGTTTTTTGCATAATAAATATTCAGTGAGTGAAAGAGAACAATAATACTGGATATTCATAAGGAGTTAATAGTCAGCAATTCATATAGAGCAGTCACATGAAAAGAGATACAATTAACAGAAAGGCCAGTGTCTGTGTGTATCTACATCTATATATGCATTTATAGCTGGATCCCTCTTTATATACCTGCAATACTGAATTGATTTCCTTCAATTCTTAATAATTATTAGTAATTTCTACTAAGAAACCTATGTATTCTGAAGCAAATCATATTTTTGCCTCATATTCCAGGTTTTTAAATTTATATTGCTATGTGATTTGAATGCCTTTTTATTGTAAGTCACTTTAAGACTATCAGAAGTGAAAGAAAAGTTTTTCCTAATCATTACATCTTAATTAGAAAATATTCACTAAGCTTAATACTAGACACTCAGAGACAAGTGTATGAATACCTGTCCTTACTTTAAGAATGCTGTTTTCTTATGATAGAGAATCAAAATATCATAATACATAACATCTGTGAAGGTAGAAAATACAATATGTATTGAAAGCTATTGAAAAATGGGGGGTGGAAGGGAAGGAATAAGGGAGAGTAACAAAACGGGTTGAATGAACCAAAGTAAAGTATACTCACAGCACAGGTACATTGAGAAACCTCTATGAATATTGACTTAGAAATTAATAATGAATGACAGGACTGTAAAATAGGTACAATGTGGGGGTGGTACTTGTGGGAGGGGGGAAGGTGAACAAAGGAGATTAAGGTGAGGTAATATGGTTGATGGTTGATGAAATAGAACAATGAAATTTCTTGAAATTGCTTTAAGTAGGGAGGAGAGGGGGTTAAGGGGGAATGCTGGTGGGGGTGATCTAACCAATGTACAATTTAAGTATATTTGGAATTGTTACAATTAATACCCCAGTACAATGAATATGTCTTAATAAAAAATTTATTAAAATAAGCTCCTGAACTCCCACAAAAAGAGCTAGCATATTTTCTTTACTTATAGGAAAACAACAATGTTCCTATTAAAGCATAATAAGAGTACTAGTTCTAAATGAATATTCAACTTCCAACAAGTCTGTCTTCTATTGAGGTACTTGCTAAGTCTTCTTATCCATTTATAGACTGTATTCAAGAGCTGTTATTTCCCATGATTACAAAATATACTTAAAGAAAATTACTTTTACTAGCAAATAGCTCTTGTTGGTTAGTTACTATCCTTTTAGCACATACCTTTCCAACATTGTTTATCACTCCACTCACTCCAAATTCCATCATCTGAGCAATACATATTCATTTTGCTTCTTACTGAAAAGCATAGTTTTTTACTGTCATTTGATGTTCTTGTGATGTTCATTTCATTTTCACCTGTGGTACTCTGAAAGCAAAAAAAATAATAAAAAGATGCCATTATCTGACCTAATTGCAGCTGGACAAGAGTCCAGCTGTCATTTTCAAAACATTTTTTACATAAAATACACATATCAAAAGACTAGAAAAGTGTAATTCTAGCAGTGATTATCTCTCTCTGTGTGATGTTTTTTTTCTTCCCTTCCTTATTTATATTTTAAATGTTTCTATAATGATAACGGGTCACTTGTAACAAAGGTCAGCATGAATGTCAGGGGAAAATTCCTAAGTAGTTTTGGTGTCTATAATGTCCAGCATTTGGACTAGTGTCTAATTTCCCAGATTCCATACACTGGAAAATGCTACATATGCTGAGTTACCAAAAGACAGAGCCATCATGTGAATGTTGGTTTTATGGAAACAACAGAGTTTGTAACCATAAGGCTGTTTTCTTTGCTTTGGTCTTATTTTGGTTAAACTTCAAAGACCTTTGTAATAGTGCTCAGGGATTGGCATGAAGCTACCACTTCAGATACAAGAATATCACAAAATCTGTAGATGATCTCACAGAAAAACATAATCACTGAAACAAAGACTTGCAGAGTTTTTCTGATTCAAAATTACAGTTTTTTATTTGCTTTAACTTATCTTAGAAACCATCATAACATTGTGGACTGAGAGTCAGGTCTTGATTCTTGTGTAATTTGATTGTCAACTCAATTCATCTCCCTACGACCTTTAACTCAATTCAACAACCAGTTTTCTCATCTGTATATGAAACAGATTAATTTGAAACCAATGGCTTACCTACTTGTCTCCACCACTCTCTAACTGGAAACCAAAGAATAAAATAGCATATAACAATGTGGGGTTAAAGGCACCACCAGATTGTTGTCAGTATCCCTTGTTATAAACCCCTCTTCTCTGATTAAGCTATTCTCTTGTAGCCCTGCCATACTCTAGTTCTGGCTCATGGCTGTTACTAAGAAGAGGTTTGTGGGGTTTTTTTCTTTTGTTTTTACCAGAGGCCTCTTCACAATCCATTTTAGTCCCTTGGCAACTTTAATGTATTGACACAAAATTGGAAACAAGTGACTAGATCTTCTCTAGGATCCTATGTAGCTTTTAAATTGGTATGACTGATTACACCTTCAGAATGCAAACATCTTTCTTTTGTCCACTAGATTTAGCTTTCTGGAAATTAAACTAAGATACATGTCATGCTCTGTCTATCATGTGGTTGGCAATTAATTTTGATTCTCAAATTTCCTGCTTGATTTAAAAGATTGCATTTATTATTTTCCCAAATAAATGCAATATTTATATGATTCATACCATACAAGAAATATCATCTTCTGTGAGCACAATTTCATAAATGAAACACCTTGCTGGAATAGGTCCTTTAGGCATGCTCCATTTCAGATTGATTTCAAAAGTATTCTCCACAGTGAGACTAAGAGAGTCTGGTGGCAAAGGCTTAACTGAAAAGCAAAAGGAAATCATTTCAAAATAGAGGTTGTTGAAGATAACAGTAGACCTTTTCCAAAGCTGAAGACACATAGTAACAGAAGCTGAGTGGCTCAAGATTATTTCCTATGATGTGAATAGAAGTCAATGTTTCCTGCCAACTAAGATGAGTTTACTGAGGAACTTGATTATTTTGGGAACACATATTTTGATAAATCACACATTAACAAATATTTAAACCCAAGAGAAATGTTAGAAGACCCAAACCATTTTCCCACATTACAGCTTTAGAAACAGCAACCACAACTGGTCTTGCTACTTTTTTAAATTATTATTAATTTATTCACATGTGTATACATTGATCGGGTCATTTCTCCCTTCTGGCCCCGCCCCCATCCCCTCCCCCCACCCTTCCAGGCAGAAGCTGTTCTGAGCTTTTCTCCAGTTCCTTTGAAGAGTAGACATAAACAATAATAAGAAAGACATAGCACTTTTGCTAGTTGAGATAAGGACAGCTATAGAGAGAGATTCTTAGCATTGCTTCCATGCACAAGTATGTTACAACCCAAGTTGATTCATCTCTAACTGATCTTTATACTGGTTCCTGATCCCCTTCTCGTGTTGACCTCTGTTGCTTTAAGGTTTCTGTGTTCATTTCTGTGGAGTGGGGACATCAAATGCTTTCATGTTTTGGGTTTTCTATCTTACTAATAGATAACACTCATGTAGTATTTATGATGTGTCTAGCACTGTACCAGGAATGTTGCATTATCTCATTCATGTCTCACAATCAACCTATGAGGTGGGCCTCAATCATCTTCATTTTACTGATAAGGAAAGTGAAACAAGATTTTGAACAACTGACCCAAAGTCACATATTTAGAAAGTTGAAGAGCCAAGATTCAAACCTAGGTCTGGCTGACTGTAGACCCTGCTACTCTTCTGTTATAACTGAGAACATAGAAAAATATCTAACCATTTGCCTATTGAGGCCTAGGAATAAGGGATTCCAAAATTATCCTATCACTAACACTAGACAAAAGGCTATATAGCAGATGGACACTGAAGGTGGGAAATAGATTGTGATTTCTTTAAAAAAGTGATGGTTTATATTTCATTCTTATCTTCCATACTTTTCCAGCTGTGCACATCCATACCCTCTCCCTTTCCCAGAAACAGCCTGAACTAGACAAAAGAAGTTGAAGTTAAAGTTGTTGTTTGTTTGTATCACCTATATTTTGAAGCTGGAAAATGAAATAGCTGGATCTGATAGGTTTGGATGCTGATGATCCATTAACACAGATAAAGAAATCTTTATAGTCTGATGACTCCAAATGGGGAAACCTGCATCCAATGTTTTTTCCATTAGCCTTGATGTAATCATCACACTGTAATGCATGATCCAAGCCCTCATACCTGTAAAAAGAAGTATTATGAGAGTTGGGTTTAACAATACTTCTAGTATCAATGTGCTCCAGTTTCAATTACCTTAACAAATTGTGGGAATAAAAAATAATCTATTCCCATAATATATACTGAGCACCTACTATATGTCACATGCTGTAATAAGTACTAAAGATCCAACAGTAGGGAAAGAAGACATAGTCTATGAATTTCATAGAGATTGCAATCTGATGAGAGTCTTCACAAAATCTCAAAGACAAAAACAAGTTTTCTTACTTTTGTACTTAATATGTCAACTCACCAACAGATTGTGAAGCAAACAATACAATCCCTATTAAGAAAACCTTGGGTAATGCTATCTTTTTAATATTTTACTGGCAAAATTATTTTAGAAGAAAGCAGATTTAAAAGTAGATATAAAATGTTATTTCATTTAATAAAATGAATGAAAATCCTCTGAGGATATAACACAAATCTATATATAAATCTCAGAAAAGCCAATGGGGTAGAATGGAGGGAGAAAAGAAGTTGTTTGGCAAGTAACTATCTAATTTTCCCATTCTTCTGAACAAGAAATGTTACCATATCATTAAATTCAACTTCATTCCAGTAATACAGCTAATGGGAATTAAGGGTAGGGGAATTCCCTACTGATTTTCCAAACAACAAATGCCTGGCTTATTTTCCTAAAGAATAACTTGCAGTGCAAAATGTGAGATTAATTTAAAAAACAACCAAAATTCCTTTTGAAAACAGGCCAATATAGCAGCTGATAAGGTACTAGTAAAAATATCTAGACTGTACTTAATAAACTTTATGCCAAGTATTTACTTTAGGCAGAGTTTGCACAATTGTAGTGTCTTGGTTAGTTCACCTGATTAGAGTTTGGGAGACTTGAGTTCTAGATTTGAATTTATACAGATAGATTTCTGCCAGAGGAAAAACCTCAGGATATCCTTTTTCCCCAATCTCTAAAATGTTGATATTTATTCCTCCCTATTTCACTAAGTGACGATAAAAATTATGTTAAACATGAACTCCAGTAAACAAGAGAACTGGTGCTTTATTTACACATTTGTCTTTTTTATCTAGAACAGTGTCTGCATTTAATAGATGTTTATTATTTGCTGAGTTAATGAACAAATAATCAGAAATGTACCCATCCAATTCCAGATGAGGAAACTGAGACCCCAAAATGGAAAATTACTTGCCCAGGCCAACCTGTCAAGTGATGCAAGAACAAGTATTAGAACCCAGTCCTCAGGAGTATTAGTAGTTTATGCCTCTTCACATAGAGTATGATTTTCTAAAGAATGATGCCATGATAAGTTGGGCTTAAACCTCACAAATAGTAACACTTTTACTTCTCTTGGTATTTTTTTTTTTTACTTAATAAATATCCAAGGTCTGATGCTGACCTATAAATTTCCAATGCTAACATCTTTTGTTTTATACAATTAGTTAATATTTAGTGAAAATGTACTGGAGGTAGTCAAGAGAAATATAAAAAATGGTTCATGCCCATCAATCCTTAAAAATTTGAGGAGATAAAGCACATATATATAAGTTTAAATATCATCTGAAAAATAAATAGTTGACAGCTATAAAAATAACAGTTCAAAGAAAAATAAAATAGAAGCTGACATGAACAGTAAAGGGTCAATGAAATTGAATACCAGATGAGCTTTGAAGGATGGATGTGTTGGTGAAAGAGAGCCAGAGGGCATTCCAGATGGCAATGCACACAAAGGCACAAAATACTGTAACATGGATGACAAAAAAAAAATGTAGAGATGGATCTAAATGGAGTAGAACATTCACATTGGTGATAGCAAACCATAATGTTAGAAAGGAAGTGATACAATGAAACTCTTGAATCACAGCCTAGATTCTACCCTGAGGGCAATATGCAGCCACTGGAGATTTTAGAACAGGGGTTAGCATATGAAAATGGCAATGTAGGAAGATACAGCTGGCTACAATGTGCAGACTGTACAGGAAGGGGTAAGATTGGAAGAGGAAAGATTGAAACAGAGCCACCATCATTTGGGAAGCTACAGCAACCATCTAGGCATGAAAGGAGGGGAAGATTCTTACAGTAGAGACGGGAAGTAAAAAACAGACCTGCAACTTTGCAAAGTAGTGCTAGGACATGCTGATCATTTTACCATGAAACAATTGAGGAAGGAAAGAAGTAGAAGAGTCAAGATGGCTCAAGTTTAAAAGCTTCAGTGACAATTAGCAAATGTAGGGAGTAAAAAGGATCCAGCTGAATAGATAAGAGATTTTCTAAAAGGCAAGACAGCAAATATGCCCAAACATTTTAGATTACAACTACATCTGTCTAAAAGATACAAAATGGAATCTACTATAGAAGCAATGACTGCATTCCTTATGTCATTCATCAAATTCCTTACAGCATCTGGAGGTTAAAACCACTTACTCCCATTGAACCCCCAAATAGTTATAAATAATCATCATGATAAATATAGTGACTTTAACTTACTAGAAATATAGTTATTCATATTGTGGATTAATTTGAACAGATATTTTCTAATATGGAATTGAAAATATAAATTACTTACCAGAAAAACAAGTTGTAATTTGTATCAATATGTACACCCATGCCAGGTTTCCAAGAACAGAGTAAATATTGCCAGTTATAATACACACAGTCCATATCCTGGATTTTAGTTTCCACACTTCCTAGGAAATGAATGCACCATGAATGCTTGACAAGGCACGGTGATGAATCATTTGTAAAATCATCATATAATTTTATTTCATTTTCTTTGGCTGTGTTACTTCATTTAGCAATCAACATAATGAGGAATATTTTTAAAGGAAGTTATTGGAAATTACCTCACTATAAGTGGATATGCAAAACTTTTGAGAGTTCAGTTTTTAATACTAGTGTGTCCCAAAGTATGACATTATTTTAGGAGACATGCAGCAATTGCATACTTATCAATGTGATCCCAAGACTGGGAACAATATCAATATAATTAGATGTAGCCTTTGCCAAATATGTTTGTTGACTGAAAGAATTTCAAAAGCCCAGTCACTAACAAGTAAGAAGGATTCTATTTGTGTCACACTGTCACAAGATTTACTGTCTATACAACCTGGTACATAAGGGCTAAAGGCCTTATTTCCTGTATAGATAGTTCTGGCAGTTCTAAATATGAAAGGTGAGCATTGTTTTAACCTTGTTCTGATGTCCAATAAGTAGCTTCTGACCATGAACTTTGAACTTCTGGTCCATTTGTGCAATGCCTTGACAACAGTGTGTGTATCTTTGCTTCTACACCTTTGTTAAGATCAAACCCATCTTTGTATTGTAGATTCTTAGTAATGATGGTCTGTTTGATAAAAAGAATAGACAAAGTCAAGCTTAGAAATAGCCATTGTATAGTGAGCCACATTAATAAGACTAAGAAGTCATCAATACCTTGGAGAGTCCCCAATATCTAAGATACTCCTGATGATTATTTGCTAAGATGCCCCAGAACTTGCCTTTGCATAGCATATCATTTGATAAGGTCATTTAAATCTTAACATTTCATTAAAATCAAAAAACAAAATAAAAAATTATTAGATAGGACAAAAGGTTCTATGGCAGGATATGCATTATAATCAACTTAGAATCAAATACATCATTTTCACATACCATATGTACATTACATGGCAAATGATTTGTCACCTTTCAAATATAGTATGAAACCTTTACAAATCACATAAAGTAAAATCCTGGAGTAACTGCTGGACAAATTATAACCTCCTGGAGGGTGAAAATCATGTATTCTCTATTCTTACGTTTCTGATACCTAACAGAGTGTCTGCTACAAAAAGTTGCTAAATAAATATTTGATTTAAATTGTTCCTTGGAACTATCTAAATGAATTATGGAGGTAAAAGGATACCTTCTGCAACAGAGCTTTGAATGACATGATTATTGAGTATGTAAATAGCTAACAATCCAATAAACTTTCATTGAGATCTTGCTACAATACGTGCAAAGAACTATGTTGTATTCTGTGGGGTGGATACAAAGGCAACCAAGACTCAACTCCTACAGACAATAGCCTCATGGTAAAGTGCAGCATATAAGACCTATATCTAAGTATGTAATTGCTATGGAAGGAATATGGCTTGAGTGTGTCCCTAAAGGTTCATGCTCAAAACTTGGTCCTTAGTGGAAAGTGGTGAATCTTTAAGAGGCAATGCATAGTGAAGGGTAATTAAGTCATTGGGGGAACTACCCTCAGAAGGAATTAACGTAGTTTGCATGAGATGCCAATTAATCTCTGTAAGAGTGGCTTGTTATGAAAGACCAAGACTGGTTTTCTCCCACTCTCTGGCTTCCTGTCCTACCATGTTCACACATGCTACCACTGTGAAGATACCAACCATGAAGCCCTCACAAAAGGCTAAACAAATGGGGCCAATCTTGGAATTTCAGTCTCTAAAACTACAAGCCAAATAAAACTCTTCTCTTTATACATTACTTGGGTATTTTGTCATAGCAACAGAAAGTGGACTAACATAATAAGCAACTAGAAAATATGGCAAAGTACATAAATGCTCCTAAAATCCATGTTCCATAAGACCAATTATTTTCTCTTATACTTGCAATGCTACTCTTAGCACTGGACATACAGGATGCACAGGAGATAGAAGCACACATGGCAGCTTGCTATGTACTGATTGTAACTATGGGGATATGGGAATTAGAGTGGACAAGAAGTCAGGTGTCACAAGAAAATAACAATTACTCTGATATTGCAAGTACATGCTTTACTTACCTTCCATTGCTCACTACCAATATTTCGGTATTTTAATTCATATTCTGCTGTGCATTCCTTAAAATTATCCAGATCCAGTGGAGGTTGCCATTGCAGACAGAGATAGCCTAAATATCCAGGGTCTACTATTTCAAAATCTTGAGGGGGATTAACTGAAATGAAATTAAAATTTTTTCTTGTATTTTATGATGAAGAATGCTAAATATAAATTATCTCTAACTTTCCTTCAACTGATGAGTGAATAAACAAAATATAGTACATCCATACAATGGGATATTATTTAGCTATAAAAAGGAATGAAATACTAATAAATTCTATAACACAGAAGAACCTTGAAACATTATGCTAAGTGAAAGGGGTCACAAAATAACACATATTACATAATTTTATTTATAAGAAATACCCAGAATGGGCAAATCCATTGACATAGACAATAGATTACTGGTTGTCAGAGAAAAGGGGGAGGGAGAATATAGTGGGCATAAGGTTTCTTTGTGAGGTGATGAAAATATTCTGGAATTTGATAGTAGTTGTTGGTTCATAAATTTTTGAATACACTGAAAATCACCAATTAGTGAATCTTTAAAAAGTTGAGTTTTGTGTTGTAAATTATTTCTCAATAAAGCTATTAAATTCTAAATTACTCCTATACAGTTTTCCTTTCTTTAAGAAATCATATAAGCAAATTTTGGGAACATAGTTCTCTCTGGGAACTATGTTTTCACAGAAATAAGAAATTCACCATGGAGTTTTTCATATGGTCATGTACATCAGAATTTGGTCTCCATTGGGAACACTTTATACATAAATCTCTCTACCAGCAAGAGTCAATCAGTATAATTCAGTGTTTACGCATATAACATTGTGGCAAGACATAATAAAAAAAAAGACAAAGTATATATCTGCTATGACTAACTACCTTAAGAATTTGGAGAACAGCAGATCTTGTTAGTCCATTCTGGCTAATCAGTTCCTCTAGTTAAGTTCAGAGCTATCCCTAGAGCATGGCAAACCAGGGTACTCTTTGGAAAGACCCAGAAAAAAGTGGCTGGCAGTTGAGCAGAGTGACTTCAGGTATCCGCCCGTTTTATTTGGGCATAAGTGGTATTTTATTTGGGAGGAAATGGATCCCCATTTGGTGATTTAAAAAGGAACACACACGTACATTCAAGATTGCTATAAACATTCCTACTAGCAAATCTGGTAGTACTATAGTATTGCTCTCATGTTGCCTTTTTGTTGTTAATTTCCTCTCATTTCTGCCACATTGTTCATTTTAATACTTTCTTCGTAATACTTATTGAGGTGAGGAAAACAATTTGCAGAAAGAAATTCTGCCACAAATTATGATTTGACCTGTTACCCCAAGCACCTATAAAAATCTTTTTTGAGGATGAAATGACAACCCCATTGTTTTGATCCTTAAGGTAAGAAATCTTTGCCAAATGAATATTCTAATTACCTTTGTCAATAAGAAGAGTTTATTAGATGATTGAATAATTCTATAATTGTTTCTATATTTTACTTCAAATTTCTGCATTTTTCCTTCATTATCCAATTGTCTAAAAGTTAAGGATAATTATCAAGGAAAGTTTTCAATTAGTGGTATATCAGGACACAAGGTTCTAGCTATTTAATCTATGTCATAGAAAATCCTATACAAGAGGTATGGAAGTTTTCATTTGGTTTTTATCCCACAAAAATATTTGTCATTATCAGTTACCCAATATGTGAGTCTGACTACTAAGAACATGTATTTTGTATAATGAACATTCTGAAATATTTCTAATAACAATCTATCTACTAGTTACGTTTATGAGGTTGAAAAGACAATTATTATTCCAAATTTTAAAGTACTCCATTAAAATCCATTTGATTTGCTGATTTACCTTTTATCTCCATGTTTGAAGACAATGTACAGTCAAATACTGTGTAAATGAGAAAGATATATAGGCAGCTGATATCCACACAGATGAAAGCCATTTCTCCAAGACTTAATACCTTGAAATCTCGTCTCTAAGAAGGAAAAATATGACACTGTAACTTTATCTTAATACAAACAACCAAGTGGCTAAATGTGATTAATAATACTTTTAAGAGCTCTCTGTGTACTTTCTACCAAGCATTGAGAAAACTGTAACCCCTGAACCATCGAAGTGGAAATAATCAAGTTTAGATGTCATGTAATTGGAATGGAAGGATTCTAGTCTCATTTTTCTAAAAGCCAAACAAAAACTAACTTCATCTGACCACACACATTCTTCTACATGCTATGAATAAATCAATCTATCCTTAAAATTTTCATAGCCCTGCACAATCTACAGCATAAATATTAAGCTAAGAATTTAAAATTATTTGTTTCTATTCTATTTATAAGCTGCAGAAATATGACTCCTGTTATTAAGTATCATTTCCTGGATGAGCCCAACACATTTAAGCATAGGAAATAGGATGGTTGTCTTCCCTGAATTATATCAAGGATCCAACCTACAATTTCCCAAATGAACACCAAGATGGGATAGGCAGTTAGAAATGAAATAATAACAACACTATGCAACACCATATCAGGGTACATTTTTCTCCACCATTGTTCTGGAGGAACAGTTGACTATAGTTGAGGCTCCTTCTTGGTACAGTGGCCTACAGACCCCAGCAATGACCTCAATAGGGTCTTTTCCAACTTGAGAGGTTGTCCGGAGGCCTCATTTACATCTCATTGTAGTTGTGGTTTCTTACACATACCTCCCCTCAAATCACTATCTTGGCTCTGAAGATCTGTTATTAAGTAAACCATTGCCCATTACCTCGTTCTTAGGAATGCCCTATTATTTCTGAGAAAATTCCATGATTATGCACATATCTTTAGCATGATCATTAGCATAATCATTAAACCCTAACCATAAAAGTGCCTAAGAATGGAGGGAGGCTCAGGGCACTTAAATGCCTACCCTCAGTTTCCTTGGGGTGTACTATCATTTTATGAAGAATTCTGCTTTAATAAAATCTAGCTTTTGCTTAAATAAATCTGCTTTGTTAAAGATTCCTTTGTGTGTCCACCCTTGAATTCTTTTCTTCAGCAAGACCAAGAATTTGCTATTTGTCTCCCTTGATAAACATGAAAACAATTCTATCATTGGTTTCCAGGTTACAGAATTGTCATTAGCGCAATGAGGGAATATGTGTGTGTGTGTGTGTGTGTGTGTGTGTGTGTGTGTATTACATAGTCACAAAGAAGACTTAAGTATTCTACAGTGGGGTAAGAACCTAAAGATAAAGGGGAGAAGGGAGAATGAAATGAATACATGTAAGATTTGAAGCTTCTGCCATACTCCACACCTGAGTCCACAGTTAACAACCACTCATCTGGTTTTAACTCCTTATTTTTAAAAATGAGGAAATCAGAGGACGATAAGTTGTCCAGGCTCATACAACTTTATTGGTGGCAGAGCTAGTGAGGCAGGCTAGAAGTAGAAATGTTTGGGGCTCACCTAGGTTGCCTGAGGATAGGCCAGATCACCCTTACCTGACTGGGAACACCCATGCCCCACCCCAACTCAGTTCATTATTGGGTGGGAACCTCCTGGGCCTGCACTCCCATGGGGTAGTGTAGGTTTTAAAAGCACCAGAAAAAGAAAAGCATGCTCTCTCTGCAGGTGGACTCCACCTGGGCCCACCGTGCCCTCTTCTTCTTCCCTTTCCTCACCTGGCAGAATAGGTGACTCCCCTTTTCTCAGTAAAGCTATCCTACCTCACCCCATCCACTTACTCTGCTTGGATTTTTCCATTTAGAGCACAAAAACCAAGATCTGATCACAGACTACACCAGCACTGTTAACACTAGGACTGAAAACCAGGTCTCTTGAACTCTTTTGCTAACTGTCAAATAAATGTTCTTGTCCTAAGGAGAGTCTGTCCTGCAGCTATTTTGCCAAAAGCCTCTCCCTACCCAACCTTCTTCAACCTAACCTACTCTCACCACCCAAACTGTCCATCAGCTATACCATGCAGTTTCATTATGACATTTTTGGCAGAAGAATAATTCAATAAATAGACATTGAGCACCATTTTTTGCTAGATACTATTCCAGATAAATCTGGCATAAAATATAAGGTCAAATGGCAATAGTCATGACCTTAGTAGTAAAAATACTTCTTATCATTTATTCAATATTCACAACATCCCAAGCACTGTTCAATGGTAAGCATTTTACACATATTATTTCATACAATTCTCACAATAGGGCTTGGCCCTAAGTACTATTTTTAATCTCACCTTAAAGACCAGAGGCAGAGACAGAGAAGTTAAATAAATTCCCTCAAGTCACACAGGCCATAAATAGTGAAATCTGAATTTGAATCTAGAAAATCCAGTACCGGAGCACTTAATGGTAATTGCTACTAGGTATTTTTCATGCCTAAAACCAATGTGAAGGACAGCCTAGGGTTTCTACCCACTTGGTTTAACATATACTATTGCTGACACAGTTTCCCATTGAGGATCTCCTTTGGAATGGCAAAACTACAGCAATTTCCTATTTTCAGCCTTGTTTCCCACCTCTTCAAAGTTATGTAACATAATACCATCACTCTAAAATTTGACTGGGAAGTTGAGTTTGTAGCTCAGTGTGACAGCACTTCTCTAACATGTGCAAGGCCTGGGTTCCATCCCCAGCAACACACACACAAACACATCAAAAAAAAAAATTGGCCAGATAATCTTTGAATTTTTTGGAGAAGCTCCAGGTACTTACCCATAATATGGTTTCTCAAGAAATGTATTGTCATAAGTAGCTATCACAAACACTTTTTCTTTCCTCTCCAGTTTAGAGATATTAATTGCAATCTCTACTATGTCTCTTCCTGTCTGATAATCAAGTACACTGAGAAAATTAGATAGGTGTACCTGAAATAGCCAGAGGGCTAAGGCACAGAATCCACAAGTCACAAGCTAGAGGAGGTTATGGATGGGACTGAAAGCTACCTAAAGCAATTTTAGAATTATAGCAAGATGTTGTAAAAGCTGTCAGGTCTAATTATTCTTTGGATAAAGTAAAAGATTAGGTGAGAATCTTGTTATAATAAAAGCCACAAGGGCATAAGTATCAACCTGAGTTTTACTTCTTCCTAAACCACTATGCTTAGGGCAAATTATATCTCAATTTGCATTTATAAAATGCTGGTAATGCACAAACCTGGCAAGGGTGTCTTGATAATAAGGCATGAGAAAGTGCTTTGAAAGTAGCAAATTGCTCTATGTATGTGAAAGGGGTTTGCTTCAGAGCACCTTACCGCGCAACAAAACTTGAAAATAACTTGCCTCAATCTATATATGTATCCCTACCAATTTAGTTTTTACATCCCACTTTTGGTAACGAGGCACTTATTTTCATTTTCATTGATTTCTTTTATGGCCTTATTGTGGTTTGAACTTAGGGCCTTGCGCTTGCTAGGCAGACGCTCTATCCCTTGAACCACTCTGCCAGCTCTAAGGCACTTATTATTAATTTCCAGTTCCCACCACTTTTGCCGATCTATTGTGCTACCTTTATTGATCTATCTTAATAAGAATAATTTTTTGCATTAGTTGAGCTTTTTATGATCTATAAAGAATTTATTGATAACTTTCTAATACATCTGTAGGTGTGTAAGGTTGGCATTGTATTTTTGCAAACAGTAAAAGTGGGACTTAGGGAATTGATGTGAGTAGCATAAGGTTCCACAGCTAGCACATCCACATAAAAAGGAAAGGAAAAAGAAGCAAGGGACAGCTGGTGGGGTGGCTCAAGTGGTAGAGCACCTGCCTGCCTAGCCAAGCATGAGGCCCTGAGTTCAAACCCCAGAACCACCAGAAAAAGAGAGAGAGAGAGAGAGAAAGAGAGAGAGAGAGAGAGAGAGAGAAGAAGAAGAAGCAAGGGACAGAAAAATGTTCTAAAGCTAATTATAATATGCTTTCTAAGAAATACCTTTTTTGTATATTGACAAAGAAAAAACATTCTTTCAAAAGGTGTTAAATGACCATAGGGGGTTTCTTTTATTTGATTGCAAAGAAAGTGCCAAATTGCAGAGACAAACATTAGAAGATGATGAATGGAATTTTGCAATGTTATTGAAGTGGCTTCTTTAAAAACCCGTATCAAAATATAGAGGCAGCCAGACATGATGGCTCAAGCCTGAAATCCTAGCTACTTGGGAGGCTAAGATCAAGAGGATCACAGTTCCAGGCCAGTCCAGGCAAAAAAAGTTTGTGAGAGCCCATCTCATCAGAAAAAGCTGGGGGTGGTGGCATGCAACTGTCATCCCAGCTATAGTGGGAAGCATAAATAGGAGGATCTTGGTCCAGGCCAGCCTGGACAAAAAGTGAGACCCTATCTCCAAAATAACCAGAGCAAAAAGGGCTGGAGGTGTGGTTCATGCACTTAAGAGTCTGCCTAGCAAGTGTAAAACCCTACCTTGAAACCCTAGTATCACACACATACACGTACACACACACACACACACACACACACACACACACACAAATATGGCCATGTTTTCCTGTTACCCTTGGTTAAAAAGAAATCAGTGTTACATTTCTAAGGTATCAAAAATAGCCATTCGACCATTTAAGATAGGGGTTTAGAAAAAAGAACTTAGAAAAGGACTGAAATTACAGGCTTAACTGTCTTCTGCAGGTGAAATGAACAACTGATTGGGTCTTACCTAAGAAGACTTGACTAGGAGACCTGGACTCTAGCACCAGCTTTGCCAAATGACTTAGGAAATTATAACAGAGATTGCAGTTTATTGAATCCTTATTAGGCATCAATCTCTGTGCCAGATGCTTGATATGGATTAGCTCATTGAAGCCTCCTAACCATGGACAGCTATTATCATTTTTATGTCAATATTAATTTCTCAACTTAAACAAGGAAAGAAGTCTATGTCTGATTCTAAAGATCATACTTCTTTTAATACATACTCAATTTCCTTTTATAAGTTATCTTT